CCGGCCACGCTCAGCGCATGCGCGCACGCTGTGAAGCCCCACAGCGAAGAGCCGGATGGGTTCCAGGCAGCCATTTCTCAGCTCTTCTTGAGCTGGAGAGGAACTCGGCCCTGCAGGCTCGGTTAAGCGAGCTGAATATAACGGCAGCCAAGGAAATGGAAGTTGGTCGTGGGCTGAAAGCTATTAGAATCTTTGTTCCTGTCCCTCCACGTTGTCTTTCTTGCCTACACCACCAACTCGGAAAAGCCGTACAAAGAATAAGCAACAGCGTCCTGGGAGCTGCACTCCGACAGCTGAGCACGATGCTGTCCTTGAAGACTTGGGCTTCCCAAGTGAGATTGTGGGCAAGAGAATCCGGGTAAAGCTGGATGGCAGCCGGTTTAGAACGGTTCCTCAGGACAAAGCCCCACAGAACAATGTAGAACACACGGTTGAAACCTTTCCTGAAGCTTATATAGAAGCTCACGGGCAAGGATGTCAATTTTGAATTCCCAGAGTTTCAATTATAAAAGAAGTCGACTGAATAAAATATTATCCCCCCCAAAAAAAAATAAAGAGGAAAATTAAAAACAACTATCTGACACCCGCAGAAATTCACCTACTTGTTTAATTCTTTATTCAATCTTTCCTTTACCTCTTGCTCCAAGTCCTCACAGCTCAACCTCGAACATATATCCCCAAACTCAATGACTTCTCCCAATCTTCTGTGCCCAACGCATCCACGTCTCCCCACTGCAAGACTGCAACCACGTGCTGGGTCTCCTTGCCCCCACACTAGTCACTGGCCGCCCAACCGTGACCAGTGCCAATGGCCGTGCTGCACTGCCACTCAGCAAGCAGCACCATGCAAGAAAAGCCTGTGATCGACTTCCATTAAGAACGCTGAAGACGAATGTGTGCATAAGTAAGTGTGGTGAAGAAGGCTGATGGTGCCCGGCTATTGAGACCTATAGCACCTGGGGAATTAAAGGCTTGAAAGTAAACAAGCAGCCATCTAGCCCAGAAGCAACAAAGCCCACATGGAAGCAGCAC